TTTACGTGCCATCGAAGATCTCGGACCTCTTTCTACTCTAAAAATAAATTATAAACCTTAAACATGTAGACTTAATTTCCTGTATTTAGCTAATAAAATAAACTTAATTTATTTTAGAGTACACTCAATTTTGGAAGCAAACCTTTAAAATGTTTTGTTGGCAACAATGACAGCAAGTTCTTGTCTTCAGTAACAACTGTCGTGTGTCATAAGGTAATAAAAATAGGTCAAGTGTAACATAAAATGTATGGCGCCTTTTTTATGTCTGTAACATTACGCCTAATATGATATAAAATAAATTCTTAACAGATTTTCCAAACATTATTTAAAGAACCTAACATTAGCTATGGGCCCAGAAAGAGTAATGTGTTAAAAAGTTTATTTTTCAGTGTGAAACTTGTGAGGTTAGGTTTCTGAAAAATAAATTCTGCCGGTAGGCGTTAGCGTGGTGTGTGAAAATAATAAAAAAATTAAATAAAGTCAATAAGTATGGAAAATCGACACGGAGTTATTCCTTTCAATGGAAGTGGATTTGATAATTGGAAATTTTGTCTGTATTCTGTGTTGGAAGCAATGGAGTTAAATGCTGTCTTACATGAGGTACCGGCTAGTACCCGAGATGATGATTGAAATAAGAAAAATCATAAAGCCTGTATGGTGATAATTCAAAGTGTAGCAGACTCCCACTTAGAGTATGTAAAAGAAACAGAAGTTGCCCTTTTAATGATAACCAAATTAGAAGCCATTTTTAGCAAGAAAGGTATGTGCTCTACATTTAATTTACTGAAGGAATTAATAAATCTAAAATATCTATGGTACTGATTTGCAAGAACATTTTTCAAAGTGTGCTCGTATTTTTCGAGAGCTTAAAAGTATGGGGAGATATTTTGAAGAGACAGGTATTGCATTTTTTTTGTTGCTATCCATGCCACATGATTTTGAGGGGATAGTCAAAGCTATACAAAATTTATCCGAAGCAGATCTGAAGGTTGAATTTGTAAAGAGTAGGCTATTAGAATTCAGCTCAAATAAAAATAAAAATGTAATTAACGTTATGCCATCATCATTTAGTGTGACTCAAAAAAGTGTTTAATGCTTTAAATACGTAAAATGGGACAAAAATAAAAAAACTGCTATCTGAATAAAAGCAGACAAAACCAATTTAACAATAGGGCAAATTTAGCTGAAGAGTAATGCAATAATCAAAGCAGTGATATTCAGACATCATCACAATCTATTGCAGTCTGTGCTTCGAGTGAGTATTTGTTAACACCTAGTAAAATAGAATGGTACACTGATTCAGGAGCTACACATAATTAATTAAGGATAGCTCAAACCTAATAAACAAATGACACTTTGTGGAGCCAAGGTCAATACAGTTAGCAGAAAAAGGAAAGTTTATGGAGGCAACCTGTGTCGGGGACTTAAAAGTGATAAGTGAAGTGAATAACTGAGAAGCTGTTTTAAAAATGTGCTGTGTGTACCTGGGTTACGAGCAAATTTGTTATCAATATCAACAATTGAAAAAGCTAGTTTTGACTGAACTTAACAACGAAGCTGTTATTACTATTAAAAATGTGGCGTGTGTACCTGGTTTACGAGCAAATTTGTTATCAATATTAACAATTGAAAAAGCTGGTTTTGAAATAAAATGTTTTAATAATAAAATTGTCATTAAAAGAGATAACTGTATTTATGTTGAAGGTAATAGAAGTACTAATCTATATAAAATCATTTTTAATCATTGTAATTCTGAGTATGCAAACTTAGCTGTTGGTGCTGAAAAAGATCTTTGGCATCAAAGGTATGCCCATTTAAATTATAATTCATTGTTACAAGTAAAAAATAAAAAATTGGTTAATGGCATGCAGTTTGCAAGTTCAGAAAATGATGGGTTGTGTGATATCTGTGTAAAAAACAAACACAAGTGTTTGCCATATTGTTCAAAAAGTAAAAAATCAAGTAGAGTTCCGGAAATGATACACACAGATATCTGCGGTCCTATTACACCAGTATCACATAATGGTAATAGTTATTTTGTAACTTTTGTAGATGATTACTCAAGGTTTTTCATGGTGTATGTAATAAAAATGAGGTATTTAACTGTATTATGCTCTAGGCCTTAACAGCCTGTTGTGCGTAAAAAATAAAAATAAAAAAATATTTAACTGTATAAAAGATTATGAAACAAAGGTAACATCTTTTATTTTGTGGTAAGATTATTGCTAAAATAAAATGTGATAATAAAGGTGAGTATAGATCAAACGGTTTTGTAGATTTTTGTTCACAAAAGGCATTCAAATTTTATATACTTATACACCTCAATGGTGTAGCAGAAAGAATAAACCAAACATTGATGGATAGAACAAGATCAATGTTTAATCAGGCAAATATAGACAAGCCATTCTGCGAAGAGGCAGTGCTTGTATCAGCATTTATAAACAACAGAACACAATCATGTTTGAATAAAGAAAAAACTGCTTATGAGTTATGTCTAAATAAGAATCCAAATGTTAGCACTATGGGAGTTTTTGGATGTACAACTTATGCAAGAATTCCATATTCTCTTAGAACAAAACTGGATGATAAAGGTTTGAAGTGCGATTTATCGGCTAGACTGAAAATTGTTATAAACTATGCAACGAAAATGAAAATAAATTTGTTCACAGTAGAAAAGTAATATTTGATTAAAACAATTTTAAATATTTTCCAGATAGGAAACAAACTGAAAATGATTGGGAAAATGTTAATGGCATCAGAGATGAAATTGCAAAAGGGAAGATAGACGAGACAAATAAAATAACAGAAACAGAATATGTTTTAGAAGATATGAAGCAAAATGCTAGATCAAAAAGACAAACTATGTTACCTGCTAAATTCGTTGACGATGAAATGGACATAAGCTGTTTGGCATTACTAAGTGAGTTCTCAGATGTTCCTCAATCATAATATCAAGCAGGGAATCAGAGTTTATAGCAGTTTGCACTGCATCATTTGAATTTTCATGTATTAAAAATTTGTTTGATTTAGAAATTGATATACAGTTGCCAGTTTGTTTGTTTGAAGACAACTAAAGCACTATTAAATTAGTTTGAGCACAACTTTGAAAATAATAGGAGATGCAAACATATAGATGTTAAACTGCATTTTGTGTCAGACTTCTTCTTCTTCTCGTGTCACTCCTAGCGGAGATTGGAAATCATCATGGCCACTGCGACTTTGTTAGCAGCGCGCCTGAAAAGTTCAATCGAACTACATCCGAACCATTCACGTAGATTACGAAGCCACGATATTTTTCTTCTTCCCACACTTCTTTTGCCCTTAATTTTGCCCTGCATGATGTTTCTTAAAAGTTTGTACTTTTCTCCTCTCACAATGTGCCCCAAGTATTCCATCTTTCTAGTTTTTATCTCATTTAGAATTTCGCATCTTTTGTCTAAAGTTTGGAGTACTTGCGTGTTAGTGACGCGGTCCATCCATGATATTCTGAGAATGCGCCTATAGCACCACATCTCGAAAGCTTCGATGTTTTTTATGGTCAACTGTTTTAGTGTCCAAGCCTCAACTCCATATAACAGGGTAGAAAAGACATAACACCGCAGCATTCGTATTCGTAACTTTATATTGATATCACGATTGCAAAAGAGTTTGCGCCTTCTATTAAAGACTGATCTAGCGATTTCTATTCTACATCTAATCTCTTTTGTTTGATCAGTATCGTCTGTGATCCAAGCACCTAGATATTTATAACAGGGCACACGCTCAATCGTTGTATTGTCTATTACAAGATTAGCTCTGATGTTCTTTGATTTCGTGACTACCATAAATTTAGTTTTTTTTCAAATTAATTTTCAAGCCGTAACTGTTACAGTATGCATTGAGACTTTGAACGAGATGTTGTAGTTCTACTAGCGTTCCCGTTAGGAGAACTGTATCGTCAGCATACCTAATATTGTTGATCGTCTCACCATTTATTATCAGACCAAGATCTTCTTCCTCGAGTGCTTGTTCACAGATAGCTTCACTATACAGATTAAATAAAAGTGGCGATAAGATACATCCCTGCCGGACTCCTCGACGGATTTGAATTTCTTCTGTTAGTCTGCCCTCAACCTTGACATTTGCTGTTTGATTCCAATATAGATTGCATATAATTCGAATATCTCGGCTGTCTATATTTTTCTTTATTAGAACTTGTCTTAGTGGTTCATGTTGCACTTTGTCAAAGGCCTTTTCGAAATCAATAAAGCAGGCGTAAATTTCTTGGTTCATCTCTAAGCATCTCTGTGAGAGAACGTTCATTGCAAACAGAGCCTCCCTTGTACCCAGCCCTTTTCTGAATCCCATCTGAGTGTTACTGATGTCTACGTCTAATTTCCTATAGATCCTATTAGTAGTACAGACTTAGTAAATAGTAACATGTTAAAATTACAATATATTCCTACAGATAGTCAGCTGGAAGATGTGTTCACTAAAGCTTTAAGTAGTGAAAAATTTTCAAAATTTGTCAAAATGTTAAATTTAGTAGTTTAGTTTAGAGTTTTTATTTCACATGGTAGCATTTTAAAGGTTTGAGGGAGGGTGTTAGAGTACACTCAATTTTGGGAGCAAACCTTTAAAATGTTGTATTGGCAACAATGATAGCAAGTTCCTGTCTTCAGTAGCAACTGTCAATTTACAATTAGAAACGACATATTTATTTTTTTCCGAAAAATTTGGAGACATGCGTTTTTTAATTGTAATGATCTCTTTATCTCTTTTATGTATCTTTTATGTAGCTGTGCCTTATAATACTTTGTTAACTAAATAAAAATACTGTTACTATGACCGTGAATATTAATATATACCTGTATATTATTATGTGCATATTTTTTTGAAACTTAGCATATTTACCTAGTTTCTTAGCTTGGCAACGCAGCGGCAGGTTATTAACCTAAATGGTACGGTTATAGAAACCTCGCGGCCCATCATCGGTACTTGCTGCCGATGCAGGGTCAAGCATTGTGATCATGACCATTCGACTAGAAGTGTAGGTACCTAAAATAGTATATAAAATCGCGACAATCTTATCGTTACTGATAGCAACGGCTGAGGTATTTTTATTTATTTCAGAAACATGAGTATCGATGTTAGTTGTTGCCTTTTGTGCTATTCGGCTGTGGTCACAATTATTGCTTTACTTTACGTCTTTCTGGACGTGAACTATTTTATAAGAATCGCTTTTACTCTAGGATGGAGCAAATTCTTTGAGAAAAAGAAGAAACTTGAGGATGGCACTCATATTTACGGTAAGTCAGAATTATTTTTCTATTCTAGTACTATTCTATCCTTGATTTTTATATAACATCGAACTTTAAATCACTAGAAGAATTGTTATTAAATGTATGGTGTTAAATCTTTCTTAGGGTGTACAAAATATACACCTTATACACAAAAAATATTTAAAAGAAACGCTGTTAATTTTATATTAATTTATTTTAAATCACAAGGCTCTTGTTTCAATTATGAAATCGTTAAGAATTTGAGTTCAATTACAAGTGAATTATTATTCCTGATACTACATACTCGTTTTTTGAAATTACTACCATTTATTTCTCCCTAGAAATAGGTCTACATTATCGACCCTACCTAAATAAATCTATTATTTTTTATCATCGAATGTGATTATATTATTCTAATATTCAGAATAATATTCTCGATAATCTCTGCTCAAGTCTTCGCTTGTTTTCCTTTTCAATAACAATCTAAATTGTTTAAACAATTAAAAAAATTATTATTACCAAAACATTACAATTTTTTATTGTATTCTAATTGAATTTTTATTGTACAATAAAAGTACTTCGTTTATAAAGTCAATAAAGTTTATAAAGTCTTCTTTAAAATGAGACTAATTACGTTTATAAATTATATACAAATCAGACGACAATTTAATAAAGAATCGCGTCTTTTTACGTAATATTTCTAGAATATCATTTGTTTTAAATTCATGCAAAATTTGTCAGCTTTTCAAATATGAAAAAAAAGGTGGTAAAATAGGAAGTGCTGTAAAGGCGCTAGCGCGATGCTTTATAAATTATTATGTTTTTCTCTATTTTTAAAATTTAAATATAATTTTTTTAAATTGAATAAAGTAATTTTTTAATTTATTTATTACTTTTTTAACTAATTCTGCGGCACTTTTAACTGGCATTTGATTTGATCCAAACCACATTATACAGTACCAGTCAAAAGTTCCCTCACACTATACTTACAATAGTGAAATTCTGAAAGAGGAAATAAACTTTCATAGGCTTTCTAACTGGTTTTAATTTTGGATTTTGATAATAAATTAAATAAATATTAAAATTGAAGTTTCTCAAAGTGGGATTCATTTACTTACTGATAGTAATGTAGTTCATTCTTCAACAATTCGTTTTTTCAAAATGTCAATACTGTCGGGTGTTGTAACGTAAACCCTTGATTTCAAGTATCCCCACAAACAAATCTAATGGTGTGAGGTCCAGTTATCGAGCTGGCCATTATGTCGAACCTCGTCGTGCACTTCATTTACCACGATATTTCTCATCTAGGTAACGTCTTACTGCACCAGAATAGTGTGCAGAAGCACCATCTTGTTAAATGGTTATTTCCTAGTTGGCGAATTTACTTGAATTATCTTTCAGAATTTTAAAAATTAACAGGTTAATTAAAGTTAAGTTGGCATTGAGAAAAATAGGCCTAACCACCAGTTTATTATTGTTGCAGTCAGAAGGTTGGCCAAGACGTTAGAGAAACACTCTTTTGACTGTTTTCAAGCTTTCTCAATTATTTTATTCCTTTTTCAAGATACTGTAATATAGATAAAAAAATGTGCAAATATTAACAAAATATCACAATTCGTTAGTGTAACTTACTAGTCGTTGAGATTATTTAAAATAAACTTGAACACTCAACATTAACAACACAAATATAAAATATAATAATGGACAATACATTCTAAAAATTTTGGTCAGGATAGTAAAATTTAGTTTAATTATGACATCTTTTGATAGTGTGTTTTAAGTCTGATCTGCAGCCCTAATAAACTGGTGGTTTTGTTTATATCGACAGTCACTAATAACTTAAACATCTCTTTTAAAACCAAACACAATATTAAGCCAAATTTTAGTAAAAGTAAGGAAAAAATTAATGAATAAGAGTATTTAAAAATTGTCATGTGGTAATTGTAACGTGACTTATCAAGGTAAACCAATGAAAAACTTGGCTAAAGAATCAAAAAACGTTTCGATAACACAGATAATCAAACTTTGGACATCACATTTAATTAAATAATCACTCTTTTTCTCCTAAGAAAAAACAGTAAACTTTTACATAAAAAAACAATTTTCAATTTTTACTTAAAATTCTTACAATTTCAATCAAAAAATATAATTGTAAAACAATTATATTTTATATAAATTATATATATTATTATATATATATATATATATATATATATATATATATATATATATATATATATATAAACAATATATTATAAAATAATATAAAACAAAATTATAATTTATTCGTCTTCCGGGTTTGGACCGTGTCATTTGTGAGTGACCCAAAAGTGGATTCATCTCGACGTTTCGCTACAATTGTATGTAGCTTCTTCAGGAGAACAAAGAAAAAGAAAAAGAAAACAAAAGACAGGAAGATGGGTAGTTAGAAACGGTAACTCAGTTACTCAACGCAACCAGAGGCGAATACTAACTACCAAGATGGGCATTTGGTCACAGTAACTCAACTACTCAACGCAGCCAGAGGTGAAAACCAAATGGCAGGACAGGGATTCACGTCCAACAGTTCAGAACACTAACGCGTCGAGAGGCGGGGAGTGAATTACTTAGGGAGCTGCTAAGAATAGATAGTATAGGCTATAAGAAACAAGGATTTGGACCACTCATCATCAGAGAGAGATCGTTTTGTTTTTCTGCAGTTTTTTTTCTTTTATTGATAACACAATTTTTACAATTATTTTAGAAAAGATATAAATATTTTGATTAGGAGATTTAGAATAATAATTGGGATTTTGTGATTTTAACTAATATTGTTTGTACCATTAATTTTGAAGGTTCACGTACGTAGAACAAAATTTTAAGAATCATTATATAAGATATTATTTATTGAAAACATTTGAGTGTGAATTTTATTTCATTATTTTTATTTCAATATATAATGTTAGATCCTATATGTTTTTTATTATTCCGGTATTCTTTGGACCTTACCTTTCACATGTAATAGCATAGATATTGAAGCACGAATAGAACCCTGAGATAAGAGAATTAAAAAGTGTGATAGAATCATAGTCATATCATTTAAATAATTTTAATTAATTAATTAATTGATTGGCGCACTAAGACTTTAATTGTCTAAAATTGTGAATAAAACTCAAGTAAATGGACATTATACGGTAGTATTGTATAAACAATCAATTAACTAACAACATTTAGCAACTTATTAAAAATTAGCACAGCAACTGACCATGTGGTCTAAAGTATAAGTAATATTTTATTTTATCATAAGTGGTGAAAAGAACCAAGAGAATCATGGATTTACTTCCAACTATTTGATAATTATTTAGCTTTAATTTTAACTTTAGATAGCATTATTAACGTGATGTTTAATTAAAAATTATTTTAAAAAGTAGTGTAAATGAAGTTACCGATCAAAGCCTTACAGCTGCTGCCGGAAAAATGGCGTTAATTGAAACAGACCGAACTAAACCGTGAAAAGACAGCCAACCTTGAGGTCAAAAATTTGACAGAGCAACAAGGTAGAAGTACCACCCCAAATAATTGGACGGTCAATTTAAAAGTTTATATGAGTTTGGATGACAACTCGCTTGTAAGAGACAAACCAATAAAAGAAATTGGTATTATAATAGCATAATATTAATATTATAATAGTATAATATATATATATATATATATATATATATATATATATATATATATATACACTGAAGTATCATCCTTATAAGCTTTACAATCTAGTTTCTTCTTTATATTTAAATAATTCGTTTTGGGAATCACTTGTGATTTCCAATATATTATTCATTATGATGCTATTAAAACCAAGATAAAAAAAAACTTAATTATAGAGAGTCTTTAATCAATTTCTTCTTTCATTATAAATTTCGATTCAGCAACTTTGTGATCATGTAGCATAACTCTAAAGATGGCTTTGTAAGCCAAAAGCGTTCAGCTAGGAATTAAATTCAGAAATGATTAAATTATAGTTTTATTTTCCATTTTTTAATTTTTCATAAATGTGTACAAAAGCATATTAGTCTTTTCATATAATATGCCACAAGAAAAATTTTCAGAACTCGTTTTTATTTCACAAAGTATCGGTTTTACTCATTTTAATAGGACAACGTATAATGAAAAAATCAAATTGGACTCAGTGTAAAATCGTACAGCATAATATATTCGTTAATTGACAAAAGGTGAAAACAATGAGACATTACCAGACAAATAGCATTGTTATACAGCTTAAATATTCTAATAATGTTCAAAAAAAGTACGCGTTACTGATAAATTCTTGTCATTTGCATACGGACTAATAATTGTCATTGTCTTTTGTTTATAGAAATTTATTCTCAATATTGTTCTGAAGCTATTTTCTTGTGGCATTTTAAATTAAAATTAAATTAAACGACTCCATAATCATCCTACCAGCAGACAAGGGAATGCGACTGTCATAATGGATAAAATTCAATACGAAAACAAAACTAAAGATCTAATAATAAACGGAACTTATACAAAATTAACAAAAGATCCAACAAAGCCTTTGTAAAAAACCAAATTATATAGAACTTTATTCAAGTTTAAAGATTTTTTAACAAGTTATCAGAGAGGATGAATTACACCTCATTACAGTAAGACTCCTCATTTTTATGAAGTACCGAAAATTCATAAAACGAATATACCACTTAGAAGCATTTGTAATACCATGAATTCTCCTTGTAGTGAACTATCAAAATTTTTATTAAATATTTTAAAACCATTTACAAATAAAAATGACACATTCATAAAAAATACACAACATTTTTTAAATAAATTATCAAATATTGAATTTAATTGAAATAATACTTTGGTAAGTTTTGACATAAATAGTTTATTTACAAATGTGCCATTAAATAAAGACTTTAAGTATAGTCAAGACAAAATTAGAGAGTGATGTTTCATTGGCAACTAGAACAAGACTAAACATATCGGCTGTAATGGAGTTATTAACATTATGTACTGATAATACATATTTT